AGCAAACAGCAACTGCATGCCGTGCTGAATGCCATGCTAGTACTGAAAGTACAGATAATTTGAATTCAGTGCAAAAAGATTGACACAACCTATGAACTGGGTATCAGTGACTCACACCTGGAATCCTAGCCACTCAGGAAGCTGAGATCTGAAGATTGTGGTTTGAAGTAAGCCTGGGTGGGAAAGTCCCTGAGAATCTTATTTCCAATTAACCACCAAAAAGCCAGAAGTAGAGCTGTGGCTGAAGTGGTAGAGTGACAGCCTTGAGTGAAAAAGCTAAGGGACAGTGTTCAAGCCTCAGCACTGGTATACACACACACACACACACACACACACACACACACACACACACACGTAACTGAGCCCCTATTTTTTAAGAGCTAGATACTTTATTAAGCCCCTTATACAATATTAACTCATGCATCCTTCACAGCTCAGTTGCCATCATCTCGTGAAATTATGAATACTGCTAATGTCCCCATGTTACAGATGAGGACACTGAATAGAAGACAGAGAAATAATGTGCACAGATAAAGCAGAAACAAGGTGGGTATTTTAGGCCCTGAGTACTAACTCTGGTAAAGAAAACCCTTCAACAGTGGGAAAATACAGTAATAAAATTCAATGTACATATATATATATATATATATATATATATATATATATATATCCAATAAACCACATAATTGGAGGGGGTGGGTGAGGTTGAGAAATGATGGAGAATGATGGAAGGAATGACATGATGATCAAAGTGCATTGTATTCATCAACTGACATGCTGAATTGAAGGCCTTTTCTAAAGCTTCTTAAAGAAAACAATAATCAATGAAAAAGAAAGAGCAAAAAGAAAACTCTTCTTCAACCCACTCAATTCCTAGTCACCCTATTTTGAAATTTGGAAATTATTTTCTGGCAGCTTTTGTTGAAAATTTCCATTTATTTTTCCTTTGTGCATCTTAACTTTCTAGCCTCATTCTAGTCTTCAGAGTTTCTCAGCTTATGACAGTGCAATATGTTGACATTCCAAACACCCCAGTCTTTGAATATTGTTACAATCATCTCTTGTGACAAGGAGGATGTGGTTAAAACTGATATTTTGTTAAATCACTGCTTTTTTGCTGTGTAGAGTTTACTGTTTGATTTGCTTATGATTTGGGGTTTGAACACAGAAATCCTTGAAATTAAGATGTTATGAATAATGAGCTGATTTTCTAGTATACTTTTGGGGTGGTCTTATACATGAGCCATGAAGAGCCTATAAGAAATTAATGATATTAATTGTGGAAAGTTATGGAGGAGATTATATGCTTCTCTTTTTAAAAAGGCCTCCATGATGATCAAAAATGCACATCATTCTAATTATAGGAGTGAACTAAACCAAGAGAGAAAAAGGAAACAGGCCACCATATGGAAGGTGGACTTAATTTATTCTGTGTAAAATGTTTACTCTGTAAAATGTGTCCATGGATCATATTGCTTAGAAAAGCCGATGTCATTGGACACTATAATTATTGAGGTTTTGCTGCACAGACCAGTTCCTAAGTGAAGACATGGCCCTGAAGATCCACGGCCAAAAAAAAATCATCGTGGTATTTTACTGCTTTGAGTATGACATGTTTATGGCATGGGGTGGGTGTAAATCAATCAGAGATATTGGGATAGAAGGATAGATATTTTGTATAATTATGTCAAGTAGGCCTGTTCTTGTGATCCAAAATTTTACTTGTTTTCTGATAGAACTTGAATATTTTATATGTGAGTTGTCTAGCTCTAAAACACCATGAAGGCATAGCAGCATGTAGGCATGGCAGCTTATTTTACAATTGAGAAAACTGGTCCAGAGTGCCTTTCTATCTCTCAGGGCCACAGATTTAACTTGCACTCTGTCTTGATCCAAAATTCACACTTCAGGGTTGTCCATGTGCTGAGTCATCAGATCGAGGATCCTCCTTACCATGGCAAGCAATAACACGGATGCTCGAGAGAGTCTACTATTTGTCCTTGACTCAACTGAAAAGACCTCCCCAATCCCAATGCTTACCACCTGCTACCCAAAAGCCTCACAGCAAAATGGTCCAGTTAATGATGGTTTTACATCAGCCAAACATCCTTGGATGGGCTGGTATGCACAACTCATTTTTCTGTACAAAACTATCAAACAATGGACCCCCTCTCCCCCTCCCTCTGTTTGATTATCCCTTCTAAGAGCAGCTAATGGGTAGTTGAGTGCATTGACTTGAAGTCTGGGAGGAAGTGAACTCAACAGGGAGCCATGGATAAACTGTGACCACCTGACATGAGGTGAGGGATGGCAGATCTGAATGGTAGATGACAGAATTGGATGGCATTCAATGTGGAGGGAATACTGGTGAATTGTGATTTTGGAAAGAAAAAAAAAAGACCATTTACCCAGCTGTAGTACCGCCTTTTAAAGTCTGGCTGTATTCCAGTGAGCAGACAAGAAGGGCAAGTCTGCAGAAGACCAGGAAGTGGGGCAAAGGGATAGAAGCATTCTGCAAACCAAGCTTCTGTCTCAAACACTAGGATCCCTTCCCATAACATTTGAGCGAGGTTGGAAGCTGATGCCTGGCACTTGCTACAGGTAGACAATTTATCAATTTTTCACTTAAGGGAACTATGAGCCGGGTGCTGCTGGCACATGTCTGCAATCCTAACTACCCAGGAGGCTGAGACCAGACTTGTGGCTTGAAGTCAGCTCAAGTAGACAAATCCAAGACATCCAACTAACGAGCAAAAAACTGAAATTGGAGGTGTGGATCAAGTAGTCGAGCTTTGTGTAAAAAAAGCTAAAGGGTAGTGCCTAGATCTGGATTTCAAGCCCCAACACAACACACACACACACACACACACACACACACACACACACACACAGACACCTACACAATGCTTTCCACTTTAAAACCTGAAGGCATATGGATTCTAGGGGTATTGTTTTCTTCACTTGCGATTTCTGGAATCATAATTCAGCATTCTACTGGATTAGGGCATGCTGTAGCAAATAAAAAATAGGGGGAAAAAAACTTTCCCAGGGGGAGGGGAGAATCTTAATGTTACAGACGAAGGAGGCGACTGCTGCATTACTGCATCAAAAATAATTTATTAACAGTGTCAGTTGTACAAAGAACTCGGGTAGGCACAAAATCTCCAGAGTTTCCGGTTTCAATGTATCCACTGCCATCTGCCCAGTGTACCTGTGAATAAAAGCTTTTCTGGAGAGGATTGATTGTAAGGCAAGAGAATGCTGGCTCCATCGTCTACTCCAGACGCTAGTGGGGAGCGGTTCTCGTGGGAATGCCATTCCCAATCTCTCATTTGTGCTTGGGGCTTGGAATGAAAAAAAAAATCACCTCTTTGGTTTCCACTTTAGGGTAGGAAATCTGGGGAGAGTTGGCAAAGAAGGCTTTACATAATCAGCATATAGCAGGCCAGTACCACCAGCTCTTTACCCTTTCCTTCTGCTCTACGCCATCCAATCCTCCAGGCAGGTCCCACCCTGCACCTGAGATGTAGGTAGGTAACGAGGGTGCGGAGTGGGGCCCTCTCTCTATCCACAGGAAGAAATCGGCCACGGAATTCTAAGCCACCCACCCAAACCCTCACCTCTCCTAAACACTCGCCGTGTAACGCGTGCGTGCACAGTGCGTACATCCACATTGAAAGGGGGTAGTTTTTTTTTTCTTCTTTTTTTAAAGGTAAGTTATCAATACCTTGGAGAGAGGACAGGGCTGATGGACCCAGATTGCCTGCTTCCCCGGCCTCTTTCTCGGGAATTCAGAAGCCAAAGAGTCTGTCCATCCATCCGCACCGCGGTCGGGCGGGGGAGCGCACCGACCTCCCACCCGCACACGCCCCGGCTCACTTGTCCCGCAGCGTCAGTCTCTCACCCCACCGGGTCCGCAAGGAGAGCTTCTCCCCATCGGCGGACAGCTGCTTTTGCCACACATCCCCCATCGGGGGCTTGCGGGTGGTGGTGGGGAGGGGTGTGCTTTGCTTGGATCACTTCTTTTCTTCTGGTGCGCATTTAGAAACCACCATTGGGTGTTGGTGGGAGGCGCCACTCTGCCCGAATCCCAGGCCGGCCCTGGCGATCTGAACGCGCGCGCGCACACACACAGACACAGACACACACACACACACAGACACACACAGACACACACACACGCCTAATTGCAAGCTTGGAACATCCTTTGGCCGGGAATCCACGTCGTTCGTGGGGGACCCCTCCACCCCCTCTCTCCGACAAGATCTCCTGCTTCAGCTCTCCACGCTGGACAGAGCACGGCTCCCCGGGGGCGTGATTCGGAATCGCCTTCGTGCTCGCGTGGCTGCCCCTCGCCGGCACCCCGTACGCCCCCGACCCCCGGGCGGTCCGGAGTTTGACTCCCAGGCGGGCGGGCGGGTGGTGGTGGTGGCGGCGGCGGCGGCGGCGGCGGCGGCAGGGGCGGCGCAGAGCCGCGGGCGGCGGGCGCGAGGGGAGCCGGCCGCTCGCCCTCCGCGCTGCGCTCGGATTGGTCTCTCCCAGAGAGCGCTGGCCGAGGGTTGGCTGCGGGCCGGCTGAAGAACAGGTGCGCTTCACCGCCCGGGCTCGCCCAGAAGCCGGCGACCAACGCGGCGCGCCGGGGCCCGGGCGCGCAGAGCAGAGCCGAGCCGAGCCTCCGGATCCAGGCCAGGGGGGTGGGGGGTAGTGGTGTGGAGAGGAGGTGGGGGGACGCCCCCCCACCCCGCCTTGTGTCGGAATGCGGCTCTTCGTCTCACGCTGAGGACCCCGCGGCTGGTTGTTTGGGTCCCTGAAGGCGGATCGAGGCCGGGCGCCCCAGGGAGCGAGCCGGGCGCGGCGCCCCCGGAGGATGCCGGCGCGGCTGGAGCGCACGCGAGCAGCGGGCAGCGGCGGCGGCGGCGGCAGCAGCAGCAGCAGCAGCGGGCGCGGGGCCCCCGCGCGCGGGAGGCCGTTTGGAGAGCAGCATCCGCACCCCGCTGCGCCCTGACCGACCCTTGGCGCCGAAGGGGGGGGCTCTCCCCCCGTCTCGCGCCCCTCTCCTGAGCTCCTGGTCCGCTGCCCCCTCTCCGGTGTCTCCCCTTCCTCCCCACCCCGTCCCCCTCCTCTGCTCCCCGCCCGCCGCCCGCCTCTCGGGGGGAGGGGCGTGGGGGGCAGGGAGCCGATTTGCATGCGGCCGCCGCGGCCGCTGCCTGCGCCCCAACCCGCCGCCGCCGCCGCCGCCGCCGGAGCCCGCGCCCGGCCCCATGCCTCTGGCGCGGCCCTCGGGGGGGCGAAGGTGAAGACCGGCTCCTAGGATGAGTGAAGGGGCGGCCGCTGCCTCGCCACCTGGTGCCGCTTCGGCAGCCGCCGCCTCGGCCGAGGAGGGCACCGCGGCGGCTGCAGCAGCGGCGGCGGCGGCGGGCGGGGGCCCGGACGGCGGCGGCGGCGGCGAAGGGGCGGCCGAGCCCCCCCGGGAGTTACGCTGTAGCGACTGCATCGTGTGGAACCGGCAGCAGACGTGGCTGTGCGTGGTACCGCTGTTCATCGGCTTCATCGGCCTGGGGCTCAGCCTCATGCTCCTCAAATGGATCGTGGTGGGCTCCGTCAAGGAGTACGTGCCCACCGACCTGGTGGACTCCAAGGGGATGGGCCAGGACCCCTTCTTCCTCTCCAAGCCCAGCTCCTTCCCCAAGGCCATGGAGACCACCACCACCACCACCGCCACCACTTCCACCACGTCCCCCGCCACCCCCTCGGCCGGCGGCGGCGGCGGCGGCGCTGCCTCTTCCAGGACGCCTAACCGGATTAGCACCCGCCTAACCACCATCACGCGGGCGCCCACCCGCTTCCCCGGGCACAGGGTGCCCATCCGGGCCAGCCCGCGCTCCACCACCGCACGGAACACCGCAGCCCCCCCGACGACGGTCCTGTCCACCACGGCCCCTTTCTTCAGTAGCAGCACGCCCGGCTCGCGACCCCCGGCGCCAGGAACCCCCAGTACCCAGGCGATGCCCTCCTGGCCCACTGCGGCATATGCTACCTCCTCCTACCTTCATGATTCTACTCCTTCCTGGACCCTGTCACCCTTTCAGGATGCTGCCGCCGATTCCTCTTCTTCCTCCACCACCACCACCACCGCCGCGCCAGAAACTAGCACCAGCCCCAAATTTCGTAAGTAAACGCAAGGTCTCAACTCTTGGTTTACTACTGAGTTTCTTGTTTGACCCCCACTCTCCCCCCCCCCCATCTTTTTATTTTTTATTTTTTAATCCCCTCTCGCTTCTGTTCTTCCGCCGAGCCTCCTCCCCTCTCCCAGGTTTGGGGCACTAAAAGGAAGATGAACTGGCCGCCAGAGGGTGGCCAGGGGTGTGTGTGGGGTGGGGGTGGGGGGCAGGAGGAGGCCTGGCCTGCTTTGGGCCCCTGGGAAATCTCCAGCTATGGTAGTATACTGGTATGAAGAAAGTGGGTCCCGTGTGTGAACACTGCATCTCACTCGCTTCAAAGCATTAAGGCCAGTGCCATCCTTCCACTCTGCAGATCTGTTGGCTAGCTCCCAGATCCTCTTCTTGGGCAAGGCTGGAAACAGGGGAGTTCCCCGCCCTCTCCCCCTCCCCGCCCCCCCCGCCCCGCACCTAACTCTTTCCCATCCCGCCCTTTAGAAAGAAGGGAAATAAAATGGTCCAGTGAAGGAAGTTCCATCAGTGCCGGTGTGGATGTGGGGTGGTCTGATGGAGATGTAGCTAGAGGTTCTTCCAGCCACCTGACCCAGGAGGGGATCAGAAAGGGTTAATTCGAAGCCATTGGGGAAGGCAGGAAAAAGATCTAAGGGAAAAGGCTGCACTGATCCCCCTCCTGCTCCCCAGCCTGCCCATGGCCTTTGCATGGCTTAAAAATTGGTCCGGTGGCCACTGGGAGTGAGTTAACCGGCAGAGGGCTAGGGGGCTGCCCCAGGGGTCTGGATGAAGGAAGTCCCCCCCCCTCCCCAGCTCTGCCAAGCCTTTGCTTTTGTTCTTTCCCCAAAGGTGGGGTGTGAACCTCTTCTTTCTCTCCATACCACAAAAATATAGGAAGGCTAGGTTGAGTTTTTCGTACTGGGAGGTGAGAACATCCAACCCTTTTGTAACATGTCACCCTCTGAATGAAGCATGAACCCGGCAGTCCTGGCTCATATGGTGACAGTAGAGCTGGTTGAGCCCAAGCAAGAAAGCTATCTCTGCATGGCAGGTGTGTCTTCCTTATTTTATAAAGGTTTGGGTGACTAAACTTGACCTCCCACCTCATCCCTCACCTTATTCTAAAACATCTCAGGAAGCCTATCTTTAGCTGGCTATGAATCAGGCTAAGAGGAATACTTTGTACAACCTGTGAAGGTTATTTAGGACAAACCTTCAGCATGTCAGTTCAAGTCCGCTAACAATCTATTCATCATAAATCAAACAACCCCCGCCCCCCCAAAAAAACCCCTAATGAAACAAAACCAAAAACCCCTTCCTGACTGAGCTGTCTTGATAGCTTATTTCTGTTTTGAGCTCTAATATCTGTGGGGAAAGAGAGATAGCTCATCATTAACTCTTCAGTGTTGGGAGGAATTCCCTGTTTGCTTTCAGTCACCTGGTCATTTTTCATTTTCCAGACCTGGGATCTTACCTGAGGTGTTGTTTAACCCTTGAAACTTCGTGCGTATGTGTGTACGATTTGGTGCACTTGTAAGTAAGGTCCAGAAAAGAGAGTCCCTTTGCTTATACTTTGCTTCAGAAAATAGAACTGGCTAGAAGATAAACTGAGAGACAGGCAGGAAAGGAAGGATTCTGCCACAAACTAGAATGGCAGTAGAAAGCAGTAAGTAGCTTCTCTGGGCTCTGGTTGAAACAGTCATTTTTGAAAGCATATTTTCCCAGGAGGGTTTTAGCAATTCCTCTGAGCATATTAACTTGAGTTTTGTGGAGGGATAAAGGATGTGTGTGTGTGTGTGTGTGTGTGTGTGTGTGTGTGTGTATGGTGTAGGCATATGTAGTGGATTTTTTTAAAAAAGGAGTATGTATATGTGGAAGACCCCGGATTTTTATCTCTTTTGATGCAGTTGATATGAATAATGAAGAATGGGTGTACTTTCCAGTCTTCTTGTATATGTGTGTGTGGGGGGAGAGGCATTTCATATTCTTTCTCAATTGATTCCCTTATGTTCCATTCTCAGGAGGTCTTTAAAGAAAAACCGAAGGTGAAGGTATTTATTTCTGCCCCTCAGTGTGCTCTTTCCTCATTGTGCAGAAGGGAATGGCAGCCTGTTTAATAAATAATGATTATTGAGCGGGCTCTCAGCCCTAAGGAAAAAGGGGGGGAGGGTGGTGGTATCTATAAAGCTTGTCAATGCTCACATAAACCTATAAGCAGTATTCATTTATTTGAAGCTGAGGTCCAGTTCTTTCTCTATTCTAAACCTCTAACACAGAGACAAATCCATGGATTAAAATGCAAGTATGCAAATTCAGGTAGAAAAATGACCTGGTTTGCATACATCAACCAGAGAAATCTTAATGAAGTTAGTTTATGCAGATTCCAAAAGAGATGCATTTAGGATTTATGGTAATTCAAAGAAAAAGAGTCATTTTTATTTTATTTTTTCATCTAGACTAAGGATTATTAATACAAGGAAATAAAGCTTTGGAGGGATTATTCTGTAGTCAGAATTGTGGCCTAAATTGTTGACATTTTTATTTTCAACTTATTTTGATTATGCCATTGAAGTTCCCAGGAGAGAAATTTCCCGTTTTCTCCCTTGCCTCCAACCTCCATACTTGAGTGGATTTTTTTTCTTCTCTCTTTTCTTTCTCTTTCAATTGGAAAATATTGTCTTCTGGTATGGCATCTGAAGACCATGGTTAAGGATGCTGCTCTGATTTGTGAGATTGTTTTACAGCTAAGGCCGTGGCTCTTGAATCAGACATCTCAAGTCTTAGAGAATGAATGTCTTTGTGTTCATCTTCCAGCAGTCAGAAGGCTCATGTCTGCAAAGGGAGCAAGGTTTTTTGAGTGGAAGTAGCTGGTTCACTGAGAATGAATGAACACACTTGCTAATGGATAATGGGATTCTTGCAAGGAAAGCTATTTTTGCTATGGGGAATGCCCAGTTGAGAGGATGGTTACTCATTTCTGGAAGAATTGAAGATCTGTAGATACGTATCCTAGACTGCAGGAGAAAGAGGGCTTGGAATTTGACTCGTTTTCCTGTCATCCATCCCTTAGGACATGGGCTGGAACAAAAGTTTTCTGTGGCCCTAGAATCTCTTGGCTTCCCAGTTGCCCAGTACTTCACTTGCCTTTTCTTTAGACTCTTTTTAAATAAATATCTTAAACATATTGCTAGTGGGGAACTGTTTGAAGTGTCTTGGGAACAGGTCACTACAGACAAGAGAAGAAAGCCTGTGTCCAATGTGCAGATAGCCTTTTCCTTTTCATAATACTTGGGGTTAGGTTTTCAGATACAATTTTCTATACAATGTTTTCAGATACAAATTTGTGGTTTGTCAGTGTGAATATGGATTGTTCTAGAGTCTTGGAATTCTTTGTGCCACTTAAGAGCTGTTGAACAAGTGGAAGGCCAGATTCAGTGGCTAAAGATATCAATGCAAATTCTTTGTCACATCTGGAAAGTTATTTAGTTAATTCCAGTGAATAAGATCACATATATTGAAATATTTTAGAGAAAAACTGAGAATAAAATGCTGTGGATGCTTAAATATGAGCCATAAATCTCAGTCTTTAAAATACATTTGAATTGCTTGTGAATCGAACCAAAATTTTAATTTTACTTTATTCAATTTAACTTATTGAGATCTGTTTATGGACAACATTAATCATACCTATAGTGATTTTTAAGAGAGCCATTGATGAAGTCAACTATTTTGTTTTCCTTTTCAACATGTTCATGTTTTCTGGAGTGAAGTGCTTTTGGTTACTTTGGAAGCTGACTCAGATATAACTTGTTAAATCAAGTTACTCCTGTATCTTACACTTTATGTACATGAGTCAAGGCTTTTAAGGAATTACAGAATGGCAAATTCTGACCCTGTTCATGCCTGTTGGCCAGCATTAGAGGACTCAGAGCTGAGTGTCAATATTTTTTGTGAAATCCACTTGAGAGCCACATCTGTGAACACATGCTACAACCTACAGATTATGGGGCTTTTCTGCATTAATAATTCCACTGTACAGTTTGGTTTTTCAGACACTTCTGTTAGAATTCATATTCCTGTCCAATATATAGATATGGCAATGGGCATAGATAAACAGGACTATTTTTTATAGCTCCTTTGAGTTTGCCCGTAATGCATAAAGATGAAGTGGTTTAAACTTTCCTTCTCAATTCTTCAGGATCAAGGCTAGGATGAATGTACTTTTACTTAGGAGAAAGTCCCTTTTGAGGATTGATATGTGGATACAGATATCCTGTGTCTATGCACTCTCCAAGACAGACATCTGAAAGCACAATGCTGATCCACAAGCTCTTGAGAGAAAGATCATCAACTAAAATAAGCTGGTTTGTGGCAATTTCTCTGTTACTAAAGAACTCAAGGCTTCTGAAACCACATTGAGCCACCAGCAGTGCCATGCTGGGGAAATCCGGTGATGTGGGAACATTTTGTCTCCTCCCTCTGCATTTTCCCAGTGCTTCCTTCCTTCCTGGTGGCACTGCCATGTAAAGAGAGGTGAATTTCAACTGATTCCTTTTCGTTGAAATCCTTCTTTTGTCATAACCTTTCATATCTAGTGCCAAGCCTATCTCGGTTTTCTGTCAGGGATGTTGAAAATGGAACACAGAAGTTGGCCCTGAAATGTATGAGAGCAAAGAAAGAGCTATAAATCTCAGTCTTTAAAATGCATTTGAATTGCTTCTGAATCGAACCGAAATTCATTCTTTTTCCCTTTCTTTCAGTCTGTTTTTTTTTTCTTCTTTCTTTTTGGCATTCAGACTTCTATGTTGGGTAAAGCACAGTTCTTTATGGCCAGGACAGGAACCACTGAGATGTTTTGAGCTCTCTGGAATTGTACTTGTCTACAACCAGCAATTTCTTTCTAGACCCATGTGGCATCCAACAACAGGAAGGAGGAATAGACTCAGCTATGGAATGAAAGGGTGAGAATATCTCTGAATAGGTGTTTCCTATTCAGGC